AAAGATCAAGGTTAAGAAATGATATATGTGTGTTGTGTTGTCAAAGCAAGAGTAACAATTCAGACCCTGCAATCGTGTGTAAATGAGACAGAAATTCAGATCAGCAACCTGGGACTTGGTCACAATTTGTGTGATGCCATGTGGCAGCAGGGTCTACCATTAGACTAACATTATGCTTCCAATATCTTCCCAGGAGTTAATACCTCCCTGTTTGATAGCATGAGAGGGGTGTTGGTATTCTTGTAAACTAGAACTTGAGCAGTAGTGTAAAGGGATATTGGGCAGTGTCGAATAGAATTTTGTCAGTCAAGTTTAATGGACTTGGACTTGGTAATAACACATTTTTTTACACCAACAAATAATAGTGAGGATAAAGTCTTAGAAGAAAAAGACATCTTGAAGTTTAATGAGTGTCTGAATATAACGGGTGATTTTAAAGTAAAAGTTGAAGAGGGAAAGTAGCACCAGATGTAGGACCACATGAGTTGGGTAAAAGAAATGAGAGATGATAAATAGTAATTGACTTGCGGACACACACACACGCACAAACAAACACACACACAAACAAACAGACATACTTCTTTCTTTTATATAGATATATTAATAATATTATTATTATTATTATTATTATTATTACTATTATTATTATTATTATTATTATTATTGTTGTTATTATTATTATTATTATTATTATTATTATTATTATTATTATTATTATTATTATTATTATACATTAAAATTCGTTTTAGTAGTAGTAGTAGTAGTAGTAGGCTCAACTAATTTAACACAGATAGGATAGTTTCTTATGTATTAGGATATTTAATATTAAGGTAAATAAATGGTGGCGAAGGTGTGGCTATTGGGGGAGGCTGGAGGCCACGTTAAAAAAAAAAAAGTATAAAAAAAGTAGTAGTACTAGTAGTAGTAGTAGAAGTTAATATTTGTAATATTAGAAGTAGTAATTATTATTCTTGGTTATACTCGTATTATAGTTGTAGACATTAACGTTCGTGGCAGTAGCACACACACACACACACACACACATACACACACAAACACACACACCTGAATTTTCTTTAAAGTAACCTTGCCCAGCACCCTCGGGGAATCAGTTTGTGTGTTGCCTCACCGCTGAACGCGCTCATTTGACAGGAAGGAACATTTGATAACAGAGTAATGTGTTACCAAGCCGTGATGAGCTACGCACTAGACAAATGAACGTTGGCGTGGAGAGTGTCATTTTGTGATTCGAGATCCTGATTGTAGGTTAACTATTTCTTAATCTAACTTACCCTAACCCAAGCTAACAGAAGCTAACTTGATTCTCCTCAACTTATTTAACCCTATTAACCATAGGAAGATACTTAGACTCATGAGAAGTGAATAGTGTAATTCGTTCCCTTGTTATTACCGGTCGAGATATGTTAACAAAAGGCGAAAATATTTGGTGGATTCCGACAGTGTGATCATTCTAAATAGTTTGTTAATGAAACTTTTTTACTTTACTGATGACCTGCAGCAAGGCGAGTTGACATCCATGGCGGCTCATGTTTATATAAGTATATAAGAGCATGAAACTATTAAACATCAAATCATCACTTCCCTCGACTCTACTATAATTGGTATGTATTAAGACACCATGCAAAGAGTGCATTACTATAAATCACTTTCCTAAATTTCACAAACACAAAGCAGACGATCTTTCCAAATTCTAATAAGTCTATTATTTTAACTGTTGTATATTAATAATTTACATTCTAATATTCGAATCTGTCAGTGCGTAGAAATGTACAATATATAGGGGGATGTAATAATGGGGTTAATTTCAGTGAGTTTAAGACATAGATACATACTGCCCCTGCATATTAAGATGCTATAATCGGCCAAAGTCTTTTATCCACCATTAACCGAGTCTCACTTTCAACACAAAATTATATTCAAGTACATATTAAACAATTTAAAAAAAATATACATGTGACATTCTTACAACTCAGCACAATAATTATACTTGCCTTACTGAAACTTTAACTTATGATAATTTACCTACCATATCTTAACCTAGCCGCTCAGAAATTCCTAGATTAAATTTGATAAAACTATTCTTGTTTTTATTGTATATTTATATAATTACATACACATTATAGTAAATATTTAATGAACTTAGAAGTTTTCATTATCGTATTATTTCTAGCTATCCGTAAGAAAAATATAATCACGAAACTACATAAATGAAACTCTCAAAATAAAATATTACATTCTTGTTGGGTGGTCGGTCAATTCAACCCCTGATCAACTCAACTCCTGTCAACTGAAATATTGGTCAATTCATTCCCTGTCAACTCAAACCCTGTAAACTCAATCGAGATAATATTATTACTCTCCCTGCAGCCTGCACTGGATGACACTCTCCAAGTCTCGCTTCACGTTGTGTCTGAGTGCCGCACGGACCGCTATTCTTTATAATGTTTTGTTTTTGTCTTTTACAATATGGTGATTATATTATTACATATAAGCAATTAATCTAAGATATCGAAGTTTGCTTCGCTTATTTTTATAGTTTTCAACTTTAGCAGCAGAGGGATTCCACATTTCTTCAATGCCTTTGTACTCACCCTTCTGCCTTCACTCTGTTCAGTGGACTGAAATGCCTGTCTGTACAAATTAGAAACTTTATAACTTAAGGAGACTTTGAAACAAGTAGACCTTATATAAATTGGCATATCGTCTTGTTGCAAAATTTGTAAGATATGAAAATGAAGCAGACAAACTTCGATGTCATCGATTAATTATTTATATGTAATAATAAAAGCAATATGTTTGGTTTCTTGGGTATATATGAGTATAGTCAGCAGCTGGCCCATATTGGCTATTCTCATGGTTTACAATTACCATCCTAACCTAACCTAACCTAATCTAACTATAACAGAAAACTTTTACAAATTTCTTGGTATTACTTTAAAAGAGATGTACAGATTAATGGGCAACATTAGGAACGTTTTCAATAGAATTAAACGTTTTCCGTTCCTTAAGAACATCTCCCAAATTGTGGAGAAATAAATTTTTACCAAGCCTAACCTAACCAATCATAACCTAACCAAAAAAGAACAACCAATACAACCTAAGGATCCAAACCTAACGACTCCCACTTGGTCACGTCTCTGTTACATACCAAGTCTGGTCTTGGTGCCATCATAACACTCTGCAAAATTGTTCTAAGAGTTCACAAATCTTACTCCGGAAAAGCTTGTCCTGACTTTTTCCACCTATCTTAACAACTTGGCTATGTAGCCTTCAGCCTGTCCAGCCAGGAAGTCACGGCTAAGTAGCCACTCCCCCAAAATAAGATAACATTTTCGTGTTTCTCAATCATTAACCTAACCTAACCTACCTATTATCGAAAATATTAACATGTACCCGGTAATATTTAAAAGACAAAAGTGTGAGGGTTAACAAGTAATATTAGGAACATTTTCCATTGAAGAAAATGATGGAAGAATAATTTTTAACAAACCTAACCTAACCCAAAAGTAAAACCAAAAGAACCTAAGGAACCAAACCTAGCGATTCTCACATATCAGGATATATGACTTTCCAACCTAAATTAACATCCCGGCTATGCAGCCTCCGGTCTGCCTTGCCGGGAATCCCCGGTTAAGTAGCCAGTTCCCCCAAAAAATAAAAAGGTTCATGATGCAGGACTGGAACTGGTGACATCCAGTGCAGGGAGAGTGCTAATATAACTGTAGTAGCCCCTTTCTAAAAGACAGTAATGGTTATTTAAATGTGAACTACCTAAATTACATATAATTACTACACCCACGGTAATTAAACTATGAGCAAGTGTCTAGTGATGTATGTCACGTAGTCTCATTACCCGTGGTGCACTTCTGACCGTGGTGACCACGGTCATTTTTTAAGGGTTCTCATGCATAATATTTTAAACCAAAAAATGATAATTTATTGCGTTAGTTTATAAAGTTGTTTTAGTTTCTGCTTTGATAATTTAATTTTTAGTGCGAATGAATTAGGAGGTATCGATAAATTTTGTCTTGTTTAATATTATATAAAATTTCCTGTTCTGCGAAAATAAACAATATTGTGCTTTAATGTTAATAAGATATACTGTACATGAATATTCAGTGTTATCGTGTGTTCCAATATTTGTATAAATTTTGTTTGCTGTCACTGAAATGTTTTAGAAAGTGAACATTCACTTTGATTTTCTTAGGGGTAGTCTACAAATAATGTGTTAATGAATAGTAATTAAAATTTCACTGATATTGTCGAATTAATGGAAATTGAGTTAAACAGCGGCCGAGTCCATACGTTATACTGTAGTAATACTACAGTATAACCTTTTCCAATGGTCGCGTCACCGGCCGCTGAGATTGGCCTTGGTCGAATGCAATATCATCCATATTACCAAAGGCTTAGTATATAGTGGGTTGTATTCACACTGTTCCCTAACGAGCACCTAACAAGGACATATAGGACATATTCCTGTATGTGTAGGAATATGTCCTATATATCCTTGTTAGGTGCTCGTTAGGACTCGGCCGCTGCTTAACTCAATTTCCATTAATTCGACAATATCAGTGAGATTTTATATTACCATTCATTAACACATTATATCTAAGGTGTCCCAGAAAAATGTCCCTGGCTTCATCCCTTCCTGCCTGCCCCCTGCTTTCCTATCTTCCTCCAACTCACAGTGTCTCAGGGAGCAGGTATCCAATCACTTTTGGGTAGACTGGGATGTCCCCGACACAAACCAATGACCTTCAGGAGAGGAGGCGAGCGTTCTCTTCTCTCACTCGCCTTGAACCTCAAACGTAACTTAACCTAACCTATCGGGCTGTTGAAATTTGAGTTGCAGAATTTTGTCTTTTTTACTATCATAATGTTGGGACTTTGCATGGTGACTGTCAGAAAGGTGAGGTGTCTGATATGTGAGAGAACCACAGATAAACACAAACTTCAGAATTGATGTTGTTTTATAGGAAATAAGATGGAAGAGACAACGTTCTCAACAACGACAGCTGCAGCCACACCTCGGTCATCAGCAAAAGATATATACGGTAGTCACCTGCTGGGCTTCACAAGTGCCTGCGTCTTCATCATCGCCATCATTGGTACAGTTGGTAAGTCTTGTGAAGTGTCATTGTCAGTATGCTTGGTAAGCCTTAAGAGCAAATCGTACTCTGTTCAAAAATATCACGAACGTTATAGATCTACAGTCAATGCATCTATACCCTATGGTCTGTTGGAGTAAAAAATGAGCAATAACACCGGAAGCATTGAGGTATCGGATAGGTTGGTACCTCATAAACTTGTACAGTATTCTGTGATAAAAGTTTGTTAAATAATGCCACAAATATTTTTATTAATTCTAAGCATTCATGTGCAATATATTGCTTTAGTGATGAATAAATATCGATGCATTTGTGCAACTCGGTAGGAGGACTGAGTGTGAACCTCGAGATGAGTTGCAATTTCATAGACTTTCCCTGTTATGTATGGGAGAAACCATTAGTAAGTAAAAGGGTTGACTAAATTAATTGTGAATATATGCTATGTTTAAATTTCTCCCTTACCTTAAAGTATAATAAATTGGTATCAAATCATAAATTTTATTTATGTTAACTACAATAGTTTAAGGGAAATAAAACGGAATGCATAGATATGAAAATACACATAATGTATTTGAAACATTATTTGCCAGTCTAGGGTTATATGATATGAATACTGCATCAGTCGAGGTTATATTTATTTAATAATTTATTGGAGCATAACTTGGTAGTTGCGGTCATATGATTCGGCCACATGCACCCACACAGGATAAAAGACAAGAACTTTAACGCCGAAACCTCAAAGGAAACGCGAGTTGCGATTATCGCCCTTCACTGCAAGGGCAATGCAGTTCTATTTTTACCATAAATATCGGTAACAATGAAATATGATAATTTGTAACTAATGATTTGTGTTTTGAGATGCGAGTGTGTAAACTTTACCACATGCACCAACTAGTCATTTTGCATTATATTATTCATCGAATGGAATACTGTAACCCATTAAGTATTTATACATATTAAAGAACAATTTATATTCTACACACAAACCAAGATAACATTACATACAAAGGAACGAAATAGATATGGAATGATCGTGAAATGCGATTATAGTAACACTGTCACGCAAGAGGAGCAGCAGACTTACCAATACACGGCGATAACCGCAGGAATACATTTCAAGTCTTCAACTGATTGTATACTCCAGGCACATTTAAAATTTCAGCCAATCAGTGCGTGTTCTGCTTTGAAATATATATATATATATATATATATATATATATATATATATATATATATATATATATATATATATATATATATATATATATATATATATATATATATATATATATATATATATAAAATCATACCGTGATCTAGTATATGCTGATAACCAAAAGGAAAGAAAAAACACGGTTCCCAAGTTTGCACCCCGAAGATGAATACAAGCAGAACCCCCTATATATATATATATATATATATATATATATATATATATATATATATATATATATATATATATATATATATATATATATATATATTTCATGTAAACTAAAATGAAAACGTGGATAAGATAAATCTTGATAAAATCACACGGGAAAATGGGAACAACGGAGCACCTTAGCTTTCGTCTTTATTCAAGACATCTTCAGAGGCAACTGGACTACATGGACAGAGAGAGGCTTAAATATACAGGGTGACCTTAAAAACATGAGGTCAGGTCATAATGATGTCATCCACTAATCCCCACACCAACACACACGTAGAGGAGCTTAAGAGAAGGGGGTGACGTGACTAGTCAGGTCAGGTCAAAAATAAGGGACCCACAAAATAACTATCATACATCTAGATCAAAGGTTTTCAAAGCATTTTTAACCTTGGGCCACTGACAAATAAATTTATGTAACATATTATCAGTTTTGAACTGACCATCACTAAGGTTTATTGATTTTAATTCCTTAATCAAACTAGCTTCAACCAGAAGTCTTTCTGTGACACAAGATGATTTAAATACTTCTAAGCTTTTTTCCCAAGCAATGGGGTGATTATTATTCCTAACATGAACGAACAAGGCACTGCTTTCAGATGCTGTTCTGATATTATACTTATGTTGTTTGATTCTGAGCTGCAGTGTTTTTCCTGTTTGTCCTACATAATTACAATTACATTTGCTACATGGAATACAATAAACACTTCCATTTACATTCAAACTTGGGCTATTCCTTATTAACATATTGGTAATGGTAGAGTCATACTTGAAAACAACATTAATATTTAGAAGCTTGAGGGACCGAACTAACGGGACAAATTCATTACGATAGGGCAGAGTCAAAATATTCTTAAGTGTAGGAACTTGTCTGGTTTGAGAGGAATGAAAGGATTTTTTAGCCCTTTTAAAACAACGATCAACAAACACAGAAGGGTACCCGAGTTTCTGTGCAATGGAACGAATGTGTTTCAATTCATCGTTAATAAATTCAGAGTCACAAATACGCAGACATCTTAATAATAATAATAATAATAATAATTGACGGTTTATTGAAAAAGTTCTGCAGCCCGAAGGCTGAAAATATACATTGGACATAAATGACTTATTACATACATTGGTGGTTTAACAAAAGCCTTAAGAACATAGCAGAAAAAACTGACATTTTGGTAGACTCAAGGTGATTCGATAAAAAGTGAATGAAACTGTCTACCTGTGTGGGCTTTCTATATACCTTAAATTTATAGTTTTGGCCATTTCTCATGATAAGCATATCAAGGAATGGAAGGGATCCATTTATTTCTCTTTCAATTTTGAATGTGATGCACACAGCATACATTAGTAACTGAAAAAATAGTATTAAGTACACACAAAAATATTATCACTATTATTTAGAAGTTACTGAGTCCACCAATACCCGTGAACCATGCTTCCTAACCTAACACATAGATTCCACCTGCACTCAGTAGTTTTTTAAGGCACAACCAACAGGCACCCGTAGTTTAAGGCCCAAACCAGCCTTTCTCAACCTTGGAAATGTACCTCTAAGTTCCACTGGACTCTTGGTCCCAGTGTGTGACCCTGTATCACTCAGCTGGCTTCACTTTACCCCAGTACATCCATGAAACGGAAGGGAGTGAGCCACTCAGACCTTGTACAGTTGAGAGAAGCTTTAGCTTCCCGTTAGTAAAAGGTTTTCACTAAGCTGCTTGAAGATATGTGGTATTGTGAGCCGAGGTAGAGGAGAGTTGATGACCCCAAACGATCGTCACGTCGTTAGTTGGGCACCTAGACAGCTGGGTTCACTCCAACTCTCACCATACTCAACAGGTGGCTCAAACCCAGGTCAGTGGACGGTCATACAGCTCGCTTCACCACTCGTGTCTCATACCGCCAGTGGACGTTATCATACCGCGTGGGGTCTGCAGAACCCTGAAAAACCCGGGCTGTTAGCTATTGTCTCACATCACCGTTTGTTCCTACCCCCTATCAAGCTTTATCTGAGATTGAATAAAACTTACTTGTTAATACTGATGTTAAATAAACGAAGGAACCAGGTCACGCCATCAGTCTCTCCTGGGTACAGCACAGAGGTGGTCCTTGACCTCTCTCACAGCTGCCCAGCCACGCTTCCTCACTGGTTCACGCTTTCCAGGAGTGACTTATTTACCAGACGGTTAACAGCTTAATTAGGACGTACGCAACATTTTCAGACTGGGAAACGATCTATAATTATTTTCAATTTAATAACTGATATTTAATTTCATGATTCGCGTCCCTATTAACTCGGTAAATTACATTTAATATCATATAGGCCTAGTTCCACAACCTCTGGCTACGTGAGGGAGCGCGGTCTTCCCTCAGACGACCTTGAACTCAGCGTCACCAATGGCGCGGCGTTTGAAATTACACTGAAATTTCTGAATATTACACACACACATATATATATATATATATATATATATATATATATATATATATATATATATATATATATATATATATATATATATATATATATGAGTGTGTGTGTGTGTGTGTAAATAAATCACTGTAGGTGCTCGTGATCCATGTGTATGCTGATAACCAAATGAAAAAAAGAAGAAAACGTGAAGTTCTCAAACAATTTCGTGTTATTCACATCTTCAGGGGTGAATACAGACTAATAAGTAGTTACTGACAAGGCTAATATATATTGTATACTGTACAATAAAGGAGGGTGAGATCAAATCCCTAGTGTCAGCATGTCTTTCCCATTAAGTAGTGACCCAACACTTTCACCTGGCTACAAATATTTTAATCACAACATTTTCCAATTTGTATATGCCATTACTTAAATTTATGTTTACAGAATTACAAAGTACTGTAAGATAGAGGAGGCCTTAGCCCGGCCAATGCAATGATTATTATCTCTCATATGAGTGAACAAAGCATTAGATTCATGGCCCCTTCGTACCCACCACCACCTACATCCACTTCTTCAGTTCCGCCATTGATAACAGAGCAACAGATTCTTGAAAATCATTCATCCCGGCATCCAGTTAATTTCAAAAGCATTGATTATATAGTAATTAAGTTCACATTAATACACAAAAGAAGACACGACTCATTAGAAGGGTAGAAAGAAAACTGTTACTCTCTCTCTCGAGGTAAGGAGAGAAAAAACTGCTGACGTGTAAGTCATCAGAACTCACACCACTCTTAGCATAAAGTAGATACGAGGAGTTATGTCACTCCTTAGAAATCCCACAGGATACGAGAAAGATAAACGTGAGGCGTATTATACAACCTTTACCGAACGTAAGATTTGGTAGGCTTTCTTCACTACTTGATAAATCAGCATCTTTCAACATTGTAATACGAATCTTTTCAGGCTACATTAATCGACCTTGTTGTAATAAGAGAGATTTAAAAAATGGTATTTGTTTGTGTATTTTTCTGTGTAGTGAGACATTTCCAGTATACTAATGTCTTGTGGGACTTTGGTCTCTATAAACCTGTTTTTGTTCAATTGAAGTTCATTTAAGATCATATTGATTTTTGTTTTACTATGGAATATAAAACGATGTTATAATGCACGTTGAAGGCTAAGATACAATAATTACAACTGGAGAATGATATAATTTCATTACCGAAATATGATAGAAAAATATCATGATAGAGGCTAATCATACTGACAATTTCGTCAAGTTGTTTCTCGTGATGGCGGAGAATTGAATGATTCGCGAGAAACATTACTTAACTTAACCTAATAATAAGCTAACTTGGAGGGAGTGACAACTTAGCACATTTTCTTGGCCATCGAGGGAGACAATATTACGTGATTTGTTCATAAGATTGACTAAGGTGAAATATTATTCCTGTTTGTTAAAGGCTTAATAGTATACATTCTTAGATCTTAACTTGTTCCATTTAATGTTTGGTCGAGCTTCCTTCATCAATAATCATATATTACTGGTTATTCTATGTCTCAAAAGACACGGTATATATTACAACAATTAAACTGCTCATTAGAACATTACCTCGACTGAGTTACCACTCACTAATTTATTTTCTTTCAAACCTATTAGGAATATCTCTCGGGTCCTTGGCTCTCCTGATGAGCAAGAAACTCCGTCAGAGTCCTTCCACAGCGTTCATGGTCAACCTTCTTGTCTGCCTGTTACCCGTGTGTGCCTTCGGGATGCCTATGTATGGAGTCGGGTGTCTGCAAGCTCAACAGTACGGCGATGTTACATTCTCAAAGGGAGTGTGCTTGACATTTTTTACACTAGGCCTCATACTAAGTCAAGTGCACATACACACCATCTGCGCACTCGCCTTCAACAGGTAAGAAATTTGTCTCATAGCTAAGATAATCGTATCTGTAAGGTACACGGAATATGTAAATTTTATTAATTTGGAATGTGATTTGATCTATAAATATCAAGAAATATATTACTGAAGACATATTATTAATTAAAATGTGAATTATTGGATAAAAATTAAGAATTTTTTTTCATGTCATATTATTAAGTTGAAATGTGAAGTATAGTGAAATTGGTCAAATCCTGGTGCAGAATGCTGGCTGTCGTGTACCCAATGTTGTACAAGCGAGTGATGCAACAAAGGAAGGTGATGCACTACTTGATCATACTATGGGTCTACTCCACCCTACTCTGGCTCCCTCTTACCTTCGGAGTAAGTAACAACAAAACATTGCCTGGAGAATATGAACTAATAAAATATTGTTTTCTAGATGGTGTCATGTTTTTTTTTTTGAGTTATTAAGAAAAAGCTTATTGGGAGGAGTAACATTTGTTTTTGTTTAATAAATTATATGCATTTATAATTATAATTATAATGCATCGATAATTATAATTTACTAATAACTACTTCCTAACGTACATTAACTTAGGTTTGGTTCATTTTCTTCATTGACATAGTAGCATTCACTGAGGGAAATGGTCTCATAATTCCAGGCGTCAAGAGCTTTTAGTTGACCATGTGGTGGACGATGGAAATAAAGCTCTCGGCTAGATATTTGACGGTGGCAGGCTGGCTGGCTGGCTGGCGAACTATAATACGATAACACCATAATGAGTTTCAAATAGTCTAGTGTGTCACAGTAAATTCAATGAACGCACAAACTTTTTCGTTACTCCCACTCATGTTTCCGGTTGGTACTGTGAACTGGTTTTAGCCACAATTGTCTTCCTACTTTGGCAACCTGTAAACACTTTTTCTCAGTCAAACATTAATCAGAAACTAGTTAAATTATTATATATATATATATACATATATATATATATATATATATATATATATATATATATATATATATATATATATATATATATATATATATATATATATATATATATATATATATATATATATATATATATCACTGTAGTGCATACACACATGTGAATTACACGAAAGCGGCTCATCTGCTAGGTCACGTAGACGCCACTTTTCACTACAACGGCACAAGCAAAGCATATTTTAGCATTAAAACTTCATCATCATCATCACATATCATCATCATCACTATAGGACCATCCATCATCGCTACATATCAATTATCACCAATTATGTGTTACCGTCATTACTACTCAGAAACAATACTCAATTATTATATCAATTGAACACAAACAAATATTTTATATATATATATATATATATATATATATATATATATATATATATATATATATATATATATATATATATATATATATATATATATATATATATATATATAAAGTATAACAAAGAAGACTGTTTGTCTGTTTGTTTATTTGTTTGTGTGTCCGCACGAGAATCTCGGAAATTACTTTACCGATCTGTAGTGATGATGGATGGTGTTATATGTAGTGATGATGGATGGTGATATTTGTAGTGATGATGGATAATGTTATATGTAGTGATGATGGATGGTGATATTTGTAGTGATGATGGATGGTGTTATATGTAGTGATGATGGATGGTGATATTTGTAGTGATGATGGATAATGTTATATGTAGTGATGATGGATGTTGTTATATGTAGTGATGATGGGTGGTGTTATATTTAGTGATGATGGATGGTGATATTTGTAGTGATGATGGATAATGTTATATGTAGTGATGATGGATGTTGTTATATGTAGTGATGATGGGTGGTGTTATATTTAGTGATGATGGATGATGTTATATGTAGTGATGATGGGTGGTGTTATATGTAGCGATGATGGATGGTGTTATATGTAGTGATGATGGATGATGTTATATGTAGTGATGATGGGTGGTGTTATATGTAGTGATGATTAGACAATAAAATAATAACAGTTTAATGCTAAAAAAAATATACTTTGCTGTACCGTTGTAGTGAAAAACATGGTGGAACCTACATACACCGTTAATGAACTATTGATGGAAGAAGAAGTTTTGGGGACTGAACAGTGAGACAATGTGGAGCCTCCCTGAGGGTGGCGTCCTATCGTGGTCTAGCGAATGAGCGTTTCTGCTAGGCCACGGCAAAGCTCACTTTAACCGGGAAGTGAACTCGCTTGAACTCAAATGGCAGGTCAGTGGTGATAAGAAGTATTCTTGGTATAAACACGTCCTCTCCTTTAGCTTTTCCTGTCAGTATTGTACCTTTCAGTACATGTGGCATCATGTTCTTCACCACCAGTCTTGTGCCATTGCAGAGCATTGGTGGTTCAAGATTTCTTAAGAGCATTATAGGAGTTCCAATCTTGAGAGTGAGGTGGTGAGGGCTCCAAAGAATTAAGGAATTCTGCAGGGTACTGGACTGCTTGGTACTGGTCGATTACTGTATCAACAGACTTGAATGAGGTCTCACTGCCTGGAAGCTGCCTGAGTAGAGTCATGTTGATTTCAGCCACTGTTTCATTCTTTGGTGCCAGAATTGCGCGTTCACGCAGCCACTTGTGATCCTTGTAGTTGTGGAAAATGTTTGGGTAGACCATGTTAGTGAGCTCAGTTGAAAACTTTACAACATTTCCACATCCTTGAGGAATGATTATTTGTCCTTCTGAATCAACAGGGAAAGTTCCATTCCCAATCTGTAGTAGAAGGTTTGCAAACTGATCAGCATCCTGATCTCCTTGTAGATGTACTCTCATGTTTGTGGATAGGGTGAGTGTCTGAACACTACTCCAAAGGTATGATGCCTTGAGGCACGCATTCATTTCATCAGCTGGAGTTCTTCAAGGAATGACAGGTAGGGTCTGGCGAAAGTCTCGAGCAATGACCATTGTAATGCCACCCATGAGCTGGTTATTTTCTCGTATTTCTTGCAAGGTCCTGTCCAATTCTTCAAACGCTAACTTGTGAGACATAGTGTATTCATCCCAGACTATGAGGCTGCATTTTTCTAATAGTTTTGCCTTTGCCGATCCTTTTTTGATGTTGCACACTTTCATTCTTATTGTGAGCGTGATTGAGAGGCAGTTTAAAAGTTGTAGTGAACGTGTAGTACAGGTGGTTTAGTGACCGTGTAGTACTGGTGTTGTAGTGAACGTGTAGTACGGGTGTTGTAGTGAAAGTGTAGTATATATATAAGGATAAAATTAGCTATAATACGTTGGCAGAGGAGGAAGAGGTGAAGGAAGGGGAAGAGGAAAGAGGTGAAGGAGGAGGAAGAGGTGGTGGAGGAGAAGGAGGAGGAGGTGTGTAGAGGAGAAAGAAGAGGAAGAGGATGAGGAGGAGGAGGATGAGGAAGAGGAGGTGGTTCGGAGATACAAGAGTTTTTAGTTTAACAAATTTATTGGCAGAGCTTGTAGTACAGTTTGCCTATTCTGAGTAATTCAGTCAGGTCTTGACACTGAGGGTGGTATCACTTCTCACTGCCACGCAGGACAGAGGTTCATGCACAAAGAAATACATCATATTCATTAACAGCTATAAATGTATAGAGGTCAGATTCATATGGGTAATGTCACTGTTCACTGCCATGCAGGACAGAGGTTCGTACACAAACAGATGCATCATATTCATTGACAGTACATATACATATATGGACACACACACATACACATATACATACATATACACATATACATACACATATACATGTACATATATATGCACATATGCACATATACACACATACATACACATATACACACATACATACATATACGTCGGTCAGATTCATGTGGGTAATGTCACTCTTCACTGCCATACAGGACAGAGGTTCGTACACAAAGACTGCATCATATTCATTGACACTATACAGTATATAGGTCAGATTCATGTGGGTAATGCCACTGTTCACTGCCATGCAGGACAGAGGTTCGTACACAAAGAAGGAAATACATCATATTCATTAGCAGTATATATAGGTCAGTGGATCACATACATTGGAGTCATATTCTAATTGAAGACTAATCAGTGTGGGCTAGCAAATTTGGGATAAACAGCAAGAATGTCCTCAAGCACACCTGATTCAATGAAGTAATTACATAGTTCAATATACAATAAGTCAGATGGCCTGAAGTCTTTGACAGTGTCACATTCAATAATATAGTGTTCAATTGTATGCTTTAAAGGTTTATCACAAAGTTTACATGCTGAGTGTTCCGGTATGGGTACAGCGTTACTAACTTGCCAGATTTGTCTGTATCCTAGCCTAATTCTGGCCACGACTACATCACATTGTTTGGTTCTGTCCTTTTGCTGGCCATACCGGTACCTCTTGTCACAAAATTTCTCATATTTACTAATGCTACAACTGTCAGGTCTTTCTACATTTCTCACTCCTTCTAGATCAGAGTTCATGATTCTGACGTGAATGTTTTTCATTACAGCATTGGACAGGCCAAGGTCAGGGTCAACATTTTCTTTCTTACATGCCTCATTGGCCAGTCTATCAGCACGGTCATGATACCTAATTCCAACATGGGACGGAATCCACACAAATTCGATACGAAAGTTGTTCTAATTGGCAATTATCACATTCCTTTTAATATCAAATACAACTTTAGACATAGAGCCTGACGGGCTGTTCATTGGTTTCAAAGCACTTTGAGAGTCACGGAATATCACCCCACCTCCATTTTCTTTGAGGTAGTCTGTGGCTAAGTAGATTCCAGTTAGTTCAGTTTGTGTTGTGCTGGCCCAGTTGTTCAGCCTTTGTTTGTTTGACACTATCATCTCTTTTTCTTTATAAATTACAATTGCACAGCCTGTTCTACCTGTGTTTGTCTGCACAGAACCATCAGTAAAAGCATAACATTCACTTGATTTAATACTCTCTATGTGTCTGTTACTAGTTTCTAGTGTGACACATCTCACCACATCGGTGTTTAACATTTGCTTACTACCAACAGGAGTGTAATTAATAGGAACTGATATATCCAGCCAAGGAGGAATGGCATTAATAGATTCGTCTGGGGTGATTGGGACATTCAGTTTCAAGAGATCTGCAACACTTTTATGAAGCCACGCCCCAAAGAGAGTCTTTTGTGGAAGGTTGGCGAGATGGTCGGGATTACTTAGATAGAACATCAACTCAATTTGAGCTGTAGTTTGAGAACCATTGTTCTTCAAAACTTTGACACAAAACATGGTATTAAGTAGAGCTATCCTCTCAGATAGGGAGGGCAGTCCGAGCTCTTTCCTCATGTTTACAATTCTGGTTGATTTTGGGCAACCTAGGATGATGAGCATGGCTTCATTTTGCACTACCT